GTCACGCGCTCGGAACACTGGACCACTGACAACAATGCCTGTCTCCCACCTGCGTCACCTGGGACCCTGAAAGGCGCGACGGGCGAGCGCCAGCCCAGACCGAAGTCTGCGTTCTGGGACCTGGCTCCCAGTCCTCCCTTGCGCAAGGTCAGCTCCTGCTTGCCACCAGCCTCAGCTCCTGAGCTGATCCCTGGCCAGCACCCCTGGACCGTCCCCACTGTGGCTAGAGTGAGGGCCGTGCAGTCGGCTCTGGCTGTGGTGGGTGGCCCCATGGACAGCAGAACGGAAGGTTGTCTGGTCTTGCCCAGAGTTCTCTCCACTGTGCTGCACCTGGCTCAGCGTGGAGACCCTCTCAGACTTCGGGGCCTGACAGGCTGCAGAGTGGTTGCAGGTAGGGCAGTGGGGGACATGTGTCCAGGGGAATTATACCCGGGCCAAGTCTGCCTCGGGGACCTGAGTTGACTGCCCACTGGCCCGTGTCCCCAGCCAGAAGTCCCTGGGCATCCTTGTCCCTCCTCCACTCGCTCCCCAACTGCCTAGCAGGGCTTCCACAGAAGGGCCAGTAGACCCCCCTGCCCGTCCTCCCACCTGGCGTCCCATGAGTGACCCACCCAGGAGCACCTGGGCTGACTCTGGCTTTGATGAATGGACCCCGGACACAGCTGCTGCCTCTGTGTGTGCCCAAGGGCCCGACTGCTGGCCAGGCCACGCATGTCACAGAACTGGACTCTACAGGGCCACCAGGGGCTGACTGCCAAGTCTGTTTTCTGCAGCCCCTCCGGGGGGACAGCTGCCTCCCTACATGCGGTAATGAAGTCATACACCAATCACTAGCCACCAGGAAGCAGAGGGACTCCGCCCATCTTCCAAGTCCCGTCTCTGTTCCTTGTGAGCAGAAACCGACTTTCACACCCCCTAAACTCTTCGTGCTCCAGAAAACCCCACACAACTCAGGACCCCTGGGGCAGGGAAGGAGAGCGCCCGGTGAAAGGATCTAGGACGGCCCACTGCCCATGGACTGCCCCACGAGCAGGGGACTGGGACCAGGGAGCCGCCTCTAGACGCAACAGACACAGCAGTGGTCAGCCGCCCACCCAGCACGTGGCCCTCAGCTCCGGCTGAGGATGCAGGCCCACCAGATGGCCACCACTTGCACTCAGGGCGGGCATCCCTTGCTCCTGGGCTGAGCCAGCACCGTCGGGGGCTGGGTTTGGTACATGCACTGGTTTGGGGGAGATCAGTCACTTGCCTCCAAGTGGGGTCCCAAAACAGCAGCCGACTCCTACGGCACAGCCGACCGTCAGGATGTCTGTATAGTAGTATGGCTGCTACTGGGGGCGGGGGTGTGGAGAGAGATGGGGGAGACAGAGACAGAGAGACATAGAGATGGGGAGACAGAAAGACAGAGGGAGTTGGGAGAGAGAGATAGAGAGAGATGGGGAGACAGAGACAGAGAGACATAGAGATGGGGAGACAGAAAGACAGAGGGA